AGGAAAATTACATGTGATTTCCCACATGAACATAAACGTAAATATTCTTATAAAAACTGGTAAATTGATTCCATAAAAAAATTTCATATATCATGACCAGCTTGGGCTTATTCCAAGAATGTCAGTTTAATTTAACATTTAAAAATATCAATTAATATAATACTCACAGATTAAAGGAGTACACTCATATAACCATCTCAATAAATACAGAAAAAAAAACATTTGATAAAATTCGGTATCAATTCATAAAGGAAATTTCCTTAACCTCTTAAATAGAGGTCGAGTGAGGTTTCAATAGAATAGCACGGAGATCTTTTTCAGGTAACGAGGAATAAATCTAATTTTAAAAATGAACATCTTTATGAAGAAAATTTAAAAACTTCCTTTAAAAAGTGTTTTTTTTTAACGGCCTACATAATTAGAGAGAGAACAACCATGGGTTAGAAAACTCACTGTCACAAACAATTCTCCCCAGAGTGAGCGATTAGATGAAAAGTAACTCCAATAAAAACATCTCAGTATTTTTTTGTGGTACTTGACAAACTCAAAGGCCTGAGAAGAGCAAGATAGAGGGATGGACCTACCTCATGTAAAATAAAATAATGCTTTAAGAGTGATCATCACACAGAGGTGGGCACCATGACAACGGAACCAAGCAGAAAGCTCAGAAGCAGCCCACGCATGTGGACATTAGTCAAAGGTGGCACTGTGGAGCAACAGGGAAAGGCATCCTGCAATCCAGCATGGTTGGGTATTTCTATGGAAGAAAATTACTTCAGATCCCTCACATCATACATACATAAAACAATCCTAGCTTTAAGTGTGAAAAATAATGACAGCGCTTTCAGAAGATAACTTAGGAGACTATCTTCATGGTCCTGGAGAAGGCCAAGGTTTTTAACTAGTCACAGGAGTACTAGTGGATATGACCGACAGATTCAACTACTTTAAAATCAGTAACTTCTGTTTATCAAAAGACATCAGTAAGAGAAAGCAAAGCCAAGGCACAGATTGGGAGATGTTTGCAACACATATAACCAATGAAAGCACTTGTTATCATAATAATATATAAAGAAATCTTACAAATTAGTATGAAAAAGATAACCCAATAAGAAAAAAGACTTCTACATGTGCTTCACAAAAGAGAGACGCTAAATGACCAATACACAAATAAAAAGGTGTTCAGCCTCATTAATAATAAATGATGTGCAACCTAAATGCATAACGTGATGCTATTAACCAGCCACCACATTATCAAACACAAGTCTGGCAACACCCCGTGTTGGTGGATGGAGCCACATGGGTCCCCAGGCACTGCTGGTGGGAGTGTGCAATGGCACCACCACTTTGGAAAACGATGTGGAATTATTTGGTGAACTTGAAGATGCACACAGCCTATGACCCGACACTTGCACGCCTAGGTGTACACCTAAAGAAATGCTTGCACGTGTGCACCAGGGAACCTGTGCAAGAATATTTACAGCAGCATTGTTCATAATAGTTGAAAACAACCCCCTTATCCACTTAGAGTAGGCAGGAAAAATAAATCTCAGTGTACTTATACAATAGATGCTGTATGCAATACGGGCGAACCTCAGGAATGTAACGTTAAGCAATGAAAGCAAATAGTATAAGGATATATTCAGTACGATTCTATTAAAAAATTTTTTTTAAAATGCAAAATTAGAAATGTTTATTATTTAGGAGTACAAACATATATGGTACAGCACAGAATTCAGGATGGTGGTTAACCTGTGAGGCGAGAGGTAAGGGGATAGGATAGAGGAGTACACAGGAAATTCAAATGCAAATTAATGTTCTATTTCTTAAACAAAGATGGGATATACATATATTAGTTGTATTCTTTTACATATATGTGATAGTTTCTTGCTTCTACTTAAAATTTAATAACAATATCATATTTGAAAACACTGTATTAGTAATAATAATAATAATTCCTACAGCTACAGTTATTCCTGCAAGTGATTACCACGTGACGATTACAACAAAGGCACTGTTTACAGCGCCTGAAGTGCACTGGCTAAGACAGCTAAATGCCCTTGGAGTTCTGCCCCTTCGGCATTCATCCTTACTGCCTCCATGAAATGATCAAAGTTGGTGTTTAAGTACCTTGAATAAGTTTAACAGGGACCAAAAAGTCCTGTTATTCTCTGCACCTGGCCAAGAAGCTCACTCAGTCACTTCTCGGTTCAACAGTTTGACTGTTCAACAGCTGAACAGTGGGAGGGGGTTCACCTCCGTCCGGCAGGTGCTGACCACGCGTCACCTAGGCACTCGGTCTGTGGCAGGCGTGACCGAGCATGCAACACACACAGGCAGTCCCACTTCCGAGAACCCGCAGCCTGCTGGAGACGAGGCTCACTAGCAAACGGACACTACCGCACCCCAGGTGCCCGCACAGTCTTGTTTAGGTTGCTGTTGAAATGCTTTACCCAGGCGGGGAACAAACCATGGGATCTATTGACTACATCTGGCCCAATTTTTCAAAAAATACTCTCGGGAAGTTTCTCATCACAAAGGAAGAAATACAAATATCTAAAAAGCAAACAAGTCATCGGCTGTTCTCAGACCTGCTGACATATGCTTTGCTTTTTTGAGCTTATGGCTTAACATTAAAATAACAGGACTGCATTCCTCAAATATCTCGACTGCTGCTCTTTATGTATACTGCTCGAAAAGGCTGTCACTTGGAGGCATTACATAGTAGCCACCACTGTTCACTGCTTACTGTGTGGTGTGGCTCTCCGTGTAAAAGCCCTCTCTCGGAAGTGCCCCCGGCTGTCTGTGCATGAGCCACAGGCAGGAGTCGAACAGCTCATGAAGGTGTTGGGGGTGCAAGGCCGGGAAGGCTGTTTTATAAATATGGATGAAAGAAACGGAATTTAATTGCATCTGGTTGCACTTTACTGGTGGGTAAAGGACCAAAGGCTTTTTCAAGTGCTGTCACCACTGTGAGGTCCCACGGGCTACCCAGCTTCGGAGACAATCCAGATATACACTCAGTATGCAAAAGAGCAAGTTGGAATCTGCAAGAAGTAAACACTGCCGCAAAGCTCTTTAATTCACTCTGCATAAATAGCTGAACCTACAAAAAAAATCTCTAGTCAGGTTTCCGGGATTATAATGAGAACTTTCTGGGTGGGGGGAGAGACCTGCGCTTTTCACTTGAAGACAAAGAAAGGTTTGTGATGGAAATGTGTGAACTGGTTTTCCACAGGGGGCTGCCAGATAAACACACTGATGGAGAACACAGTGAGGGGATGAGGCGGAGAAATCAAGCCCAAGGCGATCCACTTAAAATCTGCCCCTGCACTTATTTCTGAAAGTGGAGACAGCCAGCCTGGCCACCAGCTACATTCCCTCCTACCCCCGCCCCAAGCCGTCCCCGCCCCATCACTGACCCCGCCACTGTGACCAGTGGAACCCGCCAGCCTGCTGGGCTGTTTACTGCTTCTGGCCACTGTGTACCAGTTACTAAGCTACTCCACCGAGATGCAATGGGAACCGGGTGGCAAAGACAATGTCCTCAGCAGAGCCTAACCCACACGCCTGGACTCAGGGATTCCAAGGAAACCGTGAAGAAACGTAGACAATGCAAGTGAACGGCGGTTTGTAATCACAATTCTTAGGTGACGGACAATTATTGACTGATTTAAGGAATCCCGTTACCTAGAGAGTAAAACCAAGGCAGAAAGAGGTCGCTCTCTTGATGGAAGGTGCCAAGCACCACAATCACCGGAAAGGAGTGAAGCCCCTGGTAGCTCATGCAGGACAAAGAGGCTCGAAAGCAACGTTTTCCACGTCCCAGTCACCGGAGTCTGTTCGGTATAACATCTGCCGTATCCACGTGTACCTTTCAGTATTCACTTAATACTTTTCTTTAAGTGGACTTTAAAGTAACTCATTTAAAAAATTCTTAGTCTCCCTCTAAGCGATAATCTCCATGAAATCACACTTTGGTATGCAGTTATATTTTTTCTTATGTAGATTTAGGAATGTATATCTATTAAAATAAAAATGTATGCCCTGGCCACATGGCTCAGTTGGTTGGAGCATCGACCCTTGCATGGAAAGATTTAGGATTCGATCCCCAGTTGGGTGAGTATGGGAGGCAACGTATCAATGTCTCCTCTCTCTCCCTTCCTTGTTTTCTCTAAAATCAATAAACATATCCTCGGGTGAGGATTAAAAAGAAAGATATAAACTAAAAATGTTCATCCACAATTCATCTAAAATCATCTCCTGTGCCCAAGGGTACGCAATGGAAAAAAGGATCAGTATTTTCACTTAATAAGGGTAACCTAACAGGCTACGGTGGCCCCTTGAACAACATGGCACAGGTCTACTTATATGCGGACTTTTTCCAATAAATACTGTAAATGTATTTTCTCTTACAATTTTCTTAATAACATTTTTCTTTTCTCTAGCTTACTTTATTTTAAGAATGCAGTATATATAATACATGTAACATACAAAATGGGTTAATCAACTATGTTTATAGGTATGCCTTCCATCAACAATAGGAAGTTAAGCTTTTGGGAAGTCAAAAGTTCTACGCAGACCAGCCTGTGTGGCTTGGTGGTTGAGCACAGACCCATGCACCAAGAGGTCACCGGTTTGATCCCCAGTGGGGGGCATGCAGGAGACGGCCAATCAATGTTCCCTCTTATCAGTGTTTTTATCTCTCTCCCTCTCCCTTCTTCTCTCTCTAAAATCAGTAAAGAAAAAATATATTTAAAAAAAGTTCTATGCAGATCTTCAACTGTGCAGGGGGTCGGCACCTCTAACCCTGTATTATTCAAGGGTCAATTGTATATCTGTTTCTAAGTATCTCAAAAAAAAAAAAAAAGAGTAGAAAGAGTTTTGTACTATTTACCCTCAGGATGTCCAAGAAGAACTTAGATTACAGAGAAGGAAGTTGGGAGGAAGTACACTTACAGCTTTTGCATAAGGAAAAACAAAAGCCCAGAATCACTCACATAAAATTCTCTGGGTATTCGCTCAGGGCCATGTCGACGATGTTCAGCGCGTCGTGGTAATGCTTCTGCGCGGACAGCAAGAGGGCGAGCAGGTGCAGAGAGTTGACATCATCGCCTTGAAGCTGAAGAGCTTGGCGGACATACCCCAGAGCCTCTGGTATCTGGTTTAAAACAAAACCCCCAAATAATTTTAAACACACACACACACACACGAAGCCATTTCAGTATCTGATTCTCTGTAACCATCGAGTTGCTTCCCCTTGTCCCTCATTCAGAGTTCACGCCAAGTCCTCATGCCAAGCCCTGGGATGTTAACCACAAGCTTGAAAACAGACCCTCTCTTCACGCTGTGGCCTAAGCACTGAAGGATACTGTTTCTCTGTGTAACTGCCAACACCAAATCTTTTATTTTTCCCTAAGTAAGCACTTTCTCTTTTTTCCGCAAAACTGATCTGCTTTGGGTCATGCTTAAGATAATTTCGCTAACTGGAGGCATGCACACACTGCCAGAGGCTTTTAGTGGAATTAAAGTGCCTTAGCTGAACTGTTCTCATTTTTTTTAAGTGTTACTGAAATTAAAGTACTTAACAAGTTATGAAACCTTTAACAGAGCTTTCTAAACGATCAGACACCTGTGATTCCTTCCAAGCTCCGTTGCCCTGGTTGTCCATTAGACGTCAGGGAAGTATTTAAACACACACACAAACAAAAACCCCACACCTTCCTGACTACAACCCAAATAACCAGATCCAAGAAGCAAACCGCAGGGCCACGTACAATGGCACACTCACACTCAAGTAGGAACACACACGACCTTGACCTTAGAAATGCAACAGCTGTTCAAGACTTTCATCAAAATCGCCCCAGCACAATGGTGGATGAAATGCACACACATGAGCAGTGAACACCCTACTCTCCAGGCAGGGCTGGCAGGAACTAGGGAACGTGAGAACCCGAAGCTGGATTTGGAAAGAGCGCTCGAGATGGAAGCTTCCTCCACAGCTGGCCCCGGGACCCTTCCAGGCTCCCCTCCCCACCTCAGTCCCATGGCTGGACCCCCCTCAGCTCTCCCGCTTCTTCGCAAATCCTTAGAAACCTCCCTCCTTAGTAGGAAGCAACAACTTTTGTTTTTTTCCAAATCTGTTAGTCTCCTTCTCTGAAATTCCATTTTTAAAAATTTTTAAATTTATTTTTATCCTCACCCAAGGACATTTTTCCATTTTTTGTTCAGGTAGAGTGGGAGGGAGGGAGAGAGAGACACCGACGTGAAAGGGACACATTGAGTGGCTGCCACCCGCACGACCAACCAGGGCCGGGGACAAACCGCAACCGAGGTACGTGCCCCCCGGTGGGAACCGAACCCGGGTCTCTCTGGACCGCAGGCCGACACTCCAACCGCCGAGCCAAACCGGCCAGGGCTGAAATTCCATTTTTGATGGGTTTAATTATAAATGCTGGCTACGGAGCCTTTCTGCTCTGAGCCATAGAGTCATGACCATTACAGCCAGAAGAGAGACCATCCGCCCAACCCTTCATTTCCGGGAGGAAGCTGAGCCCAGAGGGGAAGTGACTTGAGCAGGGTCGCCTGGCTACCGGACTGAGATGAGAGGGGCTGGGCCTTCCGACTGCTTTCCCACCCTCTCCTCCTGCTCCAACGGCACTGGCTCTGAAGGTTAGAGGCCACAGGCCCCCTGCCCGCGGTCAGCAGGAACACTGCCGCCAAGGTCTGTTGTCACGCTGCGTGCTCACGAAGGCTGTGACGCCCACACGCTCCACGCACATCCATTCCTTGGGGTGAGAACTGACGGTGGGAACAGCACCCGGCCTGGCACTGTGGGGAGGGTCAGAGGCAGGGTACGTGCGTGGTGTCAATGTGCAGGGATGACCAAAGCAATCGGACAGAGTGACACAGGGACGTCCTGAAGGGATAGCTGACTTGAAGGACTTCACGGCTGGTTCCTTCACTCAACGTGTACCGAGTGCCTGCCGGGATGAAGCGGTGACGGTGACAGACATGGGTTCTTGCCCCCATGGAACCTCAAGTGTGGTGAGAAAGACACCCAACGGGGAGCTGAGCATGAGGAAGGGCAGTGCCCGCTGCAGCACGGAGGCTCCGCGGAGGGGAGAGAGGCCCCGGTGGGGGCGGCCAGGTGGCCATCACCACCCTCAGCTGTGAGCAGCAGCTCACGCCCAGCCCAGCTGTGAGCCACACCGTGCCCAGTGGGAGGGCTTCACAGAGAAGGCATCTTGGCTCCCTCAGTGCCCAGGTCGCCAATGGGAGCTACTTCTCCGGGAAGTCAGATGCGCGCCTGCAGCCGGGCCTGCCAGGGAAACGGCATGTCTGGGGAACTGACCTCGCGTTCACCCTCCAGTCAGCACTCAGGAATGTGCTGGGGTTACCACCAGTGTCTTGCACCTGGTGGGCAGGCAGATATGTGGCCAGAGTCTCCAGAACAGCCGGGAGGGGACAGGAAGGGATGAGAATGGCAGAGCGGCTGTGGAGGCTGCCGCAGGGCGATGAAGGCCAGCAAAGCTGTGCCCACGGAGAACACCATCGGCCCTCCCACTCAGGAGCCCCGTGTCATCGTGCGTACCGCCAGTGCTTCCAAGGAGCTGGCTGGTGTCTGTCTATGCCTGCTGGCATCTTCTTGTCAATCACCCACACCCTTATGGCAACCAGGCCCCATCCAGTGACTAAATCTCCACCCTGCTGAGAGCTCAGCACTGGGACACGGGCTCTCCCAGGACCCCTGGGTTCAGGGTCTATGCCATGTGCTGTGTCCAGTGGCCATCTGACCCCAGGGTGGGCAGAGCCTGGCACGCCTGTGTCCACACAGCTGACCAGAGCGCCAGGGTCTTCGCTCCGAGAAGGGCCCCTGGCTCTAGGTCGGCCTCAGGTGAATGGAGGACCAGCCACTGGCTCGAACCGAGGCGCTGAAGGAACCGTATCAAGACAGAGTGTGCACCCAGTTCAGGAAACATTCGACAAACTGACCTGTCTGGAGATGGCGAGCTGCAGGGCGAGGTAGAAAGCTGCTTGGTGATCTGTAGGTGACAGACTGTGGGCCCTGAAAAAGGATGTATGGCTGTTAGTACACAAGAGAGGCCATTTCCACATTCCCTGTCAGACAAGTGTTCACATTAGCAGTTTTATACCTAGACCACATATTTAACTACTGCACGTCTCATCTAAACTCTTGCCCTCTGTTCACTAACAAATGCAATGTATGTAGGTATGACACAGTAGCATGTTTCTGTGCTTTGGCCTCTGAAATGGCAGCTGGTGACCCTTGGCTTCGAGGAGCCTGGAGGTGAAGGCTCCGTAGGCCCTGCTCTCTGACCTCCCCAGAATACTGAGCAGGAGAGGCCCACGCGTCTGGGACACGGTGAGGCCGTGGGTGTACTTGGCAAGGCCACAGCTGCTTTGGTTATGTTTTGGCTTGGCCTTAACAATACTTCATCCACATTTCTGGATTTCAGAGAAATCATGTGAAAATCGAGACCCAGCTTTGCCGGTAAAATGAGGTTTTGGTTTCCGATGAACTAACGTCAGGGAGAAAAGGAGGACTTGTTCAGTCTTCTGAAGCTACTAAGTTCCATGCAGCTTGCTGATTTCGTCCACATAACTCTGACTGTAAGACGCTGCTAAACACCGGGTTTCGTTTTATCAACTGGTCTTTGACACTGGAGGGGAAGAGGCCGTGCTGGCCTCCCAGCTGTTTGCAAAAGCGGTCATTCTTGCTTTTACGGGGAAGTCAATCGTATTTCACAAGCAATGCAAAATGTGACTGTATAGGAGACATACTTCTCTGTTGAACAGTCTGGAGGAAAGAGAAAATAAACTTTTACCTTCTTTAAAAGGCACTATGGATCAGACTAATTAAAATCCGTGGGCCCCAGACAGTCAACAAACCTTCCTGCTGTTCTGTCAACATTCTGTGATTAAAGGAAGATCTTCTAGCAGCAGAAAACAAATTCAGGACAGACAAGAAGCCAAATCATCATGGACACACCTGCGAACAGCCAAGGATGGCTTTCTACAGCAGTGAGGAGGACCTGTCCTCTGCTGCGGGAAAGTGACTCAAAAGTCTTCTGGGCGTTTGCCGTCCAGAAAATACGGTCAGTCCAACAATTTGGGACACTGTGTGGGCACGTGAGGTGGCTCCTGGGGGGGATTTGGGGCAAGTAAGGGAGTCTCTGTCCTTTTATTGCTCTTAGGAGCAAAGCATCTCAAGTCCCCTCCCTGGTTACGTCACCAGTGACTGTGCCCTAGGGTAAGGGCCCAGGCTATTTGCCTGCGTAAATGTCTGGTTTCTACCAGGCTGCTCCAGTTTTCACTATTTCATAAGTATTGGTTTTTCCATGAATTTGTACATCAAAGCATTGTTTTTCTTCAGAGTTCATAAGAAATGAGATTGAGATGTCATGGTTTCTGTCTCTCCCAATTATTATTCAGGGAAAATGAATACAAAATTAGTTAAGAGACATTGAATTATTTAGCATTCTTTATTTTATCTCCTCTCTTTCATAATTAATAGGAAGCCAGGTTTCTACACCCCTCAGAAGGGCTTCCTCGGATCTGTCATCTCCTCAGCGCGGGTTAGATCTTTCACAGGGGAAGTTAAACCAGCCCATGGCTGCGTCTACCCAACGCCAACCAAGTGAGAAGCTGGCAATGGTCTGGTGAATTCAGGGTCCCGGACAGAGATGGCTCCGGCCACGGGCCCACCCTGGCCTCATGAAATGATTATTCACCATTAGCCACAGCCCTGTGACAGAAACAAACCAGACGTACTGGAGATGTTGGCATTTCTGGGTGGATCAGGGCTACATCTAACAATGGAAATCCAACTGCCAATTTTTTAATGGGGCATAAACTTATACATACACGTTTAAAAAAAAATCTTATGCCCTGGCCAGTTTGGCTCAGCGGTTGGAGCATCGGCCTGCGGACCAGAGAGTCTTGGGTTCGGTTCCCGCTAGGAGCATTTACCAAAAAAAAAAAAATCTTGTTTTTATAGTTTGGCTAATGCGTTAAACTGACAACTCTAGCCCAGGAAAGAAAAAAGAAATTAAGGAGAATGCCCAACAGAAAAAGGAAAGGTGCCTGGTGTCAATCTCATGAGACCCCAGGACACCTGCTTCGGGCATGCAGAACAGCTCGGCAGCTAGGTGTCCCGTGACAAGTCCACGCCGGTATGCCCACAGCCACCTGCTCAGCAGGTACCACCACGCGATGCAGGTGACAGGACAGGTGTTCGTGTCCTTGAAAACCTCGAGCCTGCCGAACGCTGCACATGGACCCAAAACCCCATTTCCATACAGCCGACTCTGGCGGAGCTGCTGAGAGAAACCCAGACATCTAAAAATGTCACCACAGGGATGCTCACAAAGTGCTTCCCCTGTCAAAGCAACTCCACCATACCCATTAACTTAATTTCTTGTCCATAAAGAAAGAAAGAATTGGCCCAGCCGGTGTGGCTCATTGGGTGAGCATCGACCCCTGCACCAAGAGGTTGCCGGTTCAATTCCTAGTCAGGGCACATGCCCAGGTTGTGGGCCAAATCCTCAGTGGGGGGCATGCAGGAGGCGGCCAATAGATGTTTTCTCTCACTGATGTTTCTATCCCTCCCTCCCTCTCCCTTCCTCTCTCTCTCTAAAAATCAATAAAGAAAAAAAAGAAAGAATTGTTAGACTGCTGGGCCACCCATCCCTCCTTCACCCACACACATTACTCAGTACCTATGTGACACCAGGCCTGTGGCACCTCTGCACAGCCTAGAGAGGAACCATGGCAACCGCCTCTCCTTGAGGAACGTCCCTTCTTCCTCAGAGCCAGGGAGACCCAAGGTGACCATTGCAATGAGTGGGAGCGGGACCCTGAAAAAGGCCTGCCAGGCTCTGCTAGAGAGCCTACGACAGGCCTCCCAGACCACCTGTCTAGAACCCAGGACACCTTGAGGTCTGCCCTACACTCTGGTTCCAACACGTTCTACAACTGAACCAAGAACATAGAAAAGGCTGACTAATGTTGACCCCGGTCATTAAGATACATAATTGTAACAATAATGACAACAAATTATGTAATTAAGCGTCTACTTTTTGTTTTTGTTGTTAATTTTCACCCAAGGATGTTTTTCCATTGATTTTTAGATAGAGTAGAAGAGAGGAAGGGAGGGAGAGAGAGATCAATGTGAGAGAGACACATCGATTGGTACAACCCCAACTGGGACCGGGGCTGGGTATCAAACCTACAACCCAGGTATGCACCCTTGACCAAGAATTAAACACAAACCCAAGACCCTTTGGTCCATGGGCTGATGCTCTAACAGCTGAGCCAAACCGGCCAGGGCTGAAGCATCTACTTTTAAGCATATGGTCCAAAAACATCTAGCAAAAGAGATAGAGCTAGAGGTAAAATCCTGAGGCCTGGTCTCTGCACCTTATCACCCTGCTGCCTGTTTAGTCCATTCTCCTTTAAGTCCCCTGCAGTCCAGATGACAGTGCATATGTGATTAGTGTATTATTCACTAGTTAAGAAAAAAAATGTACAAACCTGGTTAAATCTATCACTTAGGAACCTCCCGTTCGTGACACACATAGGATGACCAACTTGTCCTGGTTTGCCCAGGATTTCCCTGGTTTTAGCATTCAGAGTCCCATGTTCTGGGACATTGCTCACTCCGGGCAAACTGAGATGGTGGGTCACTCCATACACACAAATCATACCACATTCAAACTTAAAATCACGCTGGGAGGGAGAAAGCAATGACATGAGACCGTGTATCACACTGAGTGACAAACAGGAACGACACCACATGGCCTCTTCCTCGTGGAGCAGCCTGGATTTCTGCCTGTGGGTAAGTCCCTGCACCACGCTCCAGTGTTCCCAGGCTTTTCTCTCGGGACAAGGGCATGCACAGGAGCAGCCGCTCAGATCAGCTCAGCCTCTCCAGGAAGTTTTGCAAACAGCATGGCCTTTTCCACTATACTTTTGTGTGGGGCAAACGGACTGGTCCAGCTGCTTGGGCTGAATTTACAGACGAACAGCCAAGGGCCTCAATGTTAAGATGCAAAAATGCAAGTGGGAGGCCTTTAGAAAACCCACCTTTTTGAATCCATTAGAGAGCAAATCTTTTTGAATTCTAACTCTAGGCATAATTAAGAGTTAATTTTCCTATGCTCTATCTACAATGCCACCCCTTTTTGAGTTACACTCTTTCCTTTTTAAACAAAAATTGCCAAACAATAGTATAAACAGCACTGTGGGGGAGAGGATTAAATACATAGTAAAAAGAAAGTACTTCTCATCCAAGTGGTTTTTAAATACCCATTTACATTTAAGAAGTACTACAAATCATTCATATTTACTTTCAGTTTTTCCTTACAGATTGCGAAGTCTACAACGTACAAGAATAGTCCTCATTAATGTGTACTTGAAACAAAATAATGGTATTTCTTTGAAAATATTTTTCGTTTCACGCAAAGAGTAATTTAGGTTAGACTTCCCCCAATAAATCACATAGGTTGGTAGGATTTTATTACTCTTTATTCCCACATGAACTAACATTTTAAAAAATCTCTTTGAATTAAAAGCTAGGTAAAAGGAACAGGAAAAGAATTCATGTCACTGGAACAGCTGTCACGCTGCATGATGTTAGGAATCAGGCGGCTCAGGGCCGACCACCGCCGTGGCTGGTTTTAGATAGCCGGCAGGACACGCTGACTTAAGAAGCGTGAACAGAGTGCAGTGACCACTTTCTGAGGCGTGCCTGTGTGTTTGACAGGCTGGGGTGGGAGAATTTAAAACTCCATGTCCAGCCCTGGCCAGTTTTGCTCAGTGGTTAGAGCGTCGGCCTGCAGTCCAGAGAGACCCGGGTTCAGTTCTCGCTAAGGGCATGTACCTCGGTTGCAGTTTGTCCCTGGCCCTGGTTGGGACGTGTGGGTGGCAGCCACTCGATGTGTACCTTTCATGTCGATGTTTCTTTTTCTCTCTCCCCCTCCCACTCTATCTGAATAAAATATGAAAAAATGTCCTCGGGTAAGGATTAAAAAAAAAGAAAAAACAACAACTCATGTCCACAAAAGCTCAGCACAGAGACAGGAGATCTGCTTGCCAATGGCGACGGGGATGTTTTGTCATTGCCCAAGGCACTGTCGATCGGCAAGCTTGGGAGGAAACAGAGACGAGATGCAAGGTTTCAGACGAACTGAAACCACGTGACAGGATCCATGCAGAAAGGAGTGCGTACACTGTGGCGACCTGTAGGCAGCCCCAGTGCCGGGCGAGAAACCCGCAAAGGGCACTGCTGTGGGGAGGGCCTCATGAAACGCTGGTGCAAGTCACTGAGCTTCGGTACAATTCCAAGAAAGCAATGTAACGCAGACGTATTTAAAGTGAAAGAATCAATAGCGATTATAGATTTGACATCATGCAGCTATACTTTCAAGCAACGATTCATTTTAGTGATTTATTATAGCTGCAATAAGAAAAAAATTAGGGCAGAACCAGAAAAGTTGGATTAGAGTCAAGAGACCTTGATTCTATCCTGACCTCAACAGCCATGTGACTCTGGTAACTTCCCACTCCTGCCCTGGAGTCCCTTACCTGCAGTGAACGTACTACTTGTCCTGTCTCCCCTGCTGATGAGGTTAAATCAGGGCGTGGGAGAACTAAGACACCCCAGCATTTCCTATTATAACGCATTCTCCGAATTTTATGGAAGGTACAGCGACGGAGACAAGTGTGAGGTATTATGGAGCATGACAGGTAGAGGGGACTTGTCTGTCTTAACATAGTATTTCAGAGACTGTCCTAAAATCTGGCATTTTCACTTCTTAATATAAAAATCTGCCACTTGACAGGCTAAAAAAAAACACAAAAAAAGCTAGGAAAAAAATGATCGCTTTTCTAGATGATGACAAATGTCTTTAATAAAAGGAATCATCTCCCTAGGCACACAAAGTATCTATCTTCTTAGAGCTGAGCTCGCTTTATTAGGAATGAATAAAATGTCCCCAAATGGATGAACAGATTAGGAATGCAGATTTACATGGTAACAAATGATGCAGTGAGTTTTGAAACTGCGCATTCAGTGCTGAGAGGGAAGACTCCCGAGGGAAACACTGTTTACATAATCTTTATAAATATCTCTTCCTTTCATACTCATCATACTTTAGTGTCGTTATGTACAGCCGAGGGCAAGGATGAACTCCCACTCACCTCTGAAATGCAAGAAGTGCCTTTCTCTGCAGGACCTCCTGCATCCCTCGCAACGAAGCTGAAAAAGGGTTCAGTCAGTCAGTGATGGAAGATCGGGGAGTTTGGGACAAATACAAAACTCATCACAAAAGCTACCCATTCCACTGGATTATAGGCAACACATTCTGTCCTGTCCCAGGCACTGCAGAAGACGGGACACAGAGCCCAGGCCAACCCAAGGCCTGTGGGTATAACTTGGAATGATGCCATGGGGACAGTGTAAGTTGGATGGTCACTCCTGGTATCCCCAGACACAGGGGCCGTCTTGAAAAGACCAGCAGGGAGCTCCGAGAGGAGCATGTCTGTTTTCCCCAGCGTAGGCACAGAACTGCTGGGTGCAGCCTGGCTCTACCAGGATGGCATGGAAGACAATCAAGCACCAGAGGTGTAGGAGTGGACAGCCTTCAGAGGTCCTCTGGCACAAAGCAGCTCTGATCCTCAGCCAAGGGCACTAGCTTGATGCCAAGAAGGCCAGTTTAACTCAGTGCAGTGACCAGGACTGTTAATGCCTTGATATGAACACAACTGAAATGGGAAAATCAGTTCAAAAGTGAGGCCATCTTGCTGTGAGCCAACACTTGCCTTGTGCAGAGCATGTGAGACACGGGTCCCTTGGAGCCTGTCGTAGGAACTGAAAAAGGTTACTTCTTCCTGGGGCGATAGAAAAAGTCCTAGAGGAACCCACCTGTGGTGGAACTGCAGGGGCCCTTACCTAAGAAGCGCAGCGTGGCAGATCCCACCTGACGCCACACTGAGGATGGCAGAAGGCCGCCTGGTGGGCTGGGTGAGGCTGTGACGATGGCTAACAGGGCAACAGTGACTGAGCTCAAGGGAACCACAGAGGTGACCCTGCTGAGTCACGGATACAAGATGAGGCCCAATAGGGTCAAGCAACTCTCCTTGAGTAACTGGGCAATTAGCAGTAGAACCCAAACTAAGAGTTTATATGGATAGATACATGACATTAAATTTACACTTAACTGAACGTCTACCATAGTTAAAACAATGGGCTGGGTATTGCCATTATCTCATGTATACATGAAAAATTTGCAAAAAATCCACTATTAAAACTCAGTTGATAGGCAAAACTTCTCCAGGGGCTTTGAAATTTTAAGGCAAAGGAAAGGAATATCTGGGGTAATCTGTAAAAAAGCAAACAAACAACACTATTGCAAAACCATACAGAAAGAAAAAGAAAGTATTACTAAAGTGTTTCTCTTGGGGGCCCATGAGCGGCTAGGGGTACCCGAGGAGCTCCGTGGGGTGGCAAGGCGCTAGCCTCTGAGCAGGGTAGTGGCTACAAGGCTATTTGCCTTCTACTAATTCATCAAATTACACACTTGCTTTTGAAATGTTTAATATTCTTGTTATATTTAACAATAAATTTTCAAGAAATAATAGAATTCAGAAAAAATAATCTCTCAATTTATACTTTCTGCAAACATAATTGAAAACTTCATTACATATACAAAATATTTTTTTAGCCAGGGCCTGTCCACAAAAGCTCTAAGCACATCCAAAACATATACTATCGCTGCATGGGCATCTGGGGAGCTGTCTCACTGCATGTGCACAGACCTGTGAATTAGGACGTACCCACAGAGAAGGGACAGGTCCTGACCAATCAAGGGAAGCTTCCTGGAAGAGGCTGGCCCTCACCTCTTCTATATTCTTGTGCCTAAGACACAGCATCTCTTCACAGGAGGACAGTCCAGCCAGGTGCAGGGGCAGAGGCGCCCAGGTCAGGCTGGGAGAATCAGCTCTCAACACCCCCTGCTCACCTTGCACCTCATGGCAGATGCTCTGCCCCTGCCAGCTGGCCACCTGGGCACCACCAACCCGATTCCCCTGGAAGAGGACTTGGAAGCCCTGGCATAAGGCCTTGGTCCTCCCCACCCCCCATCCTCCAAGCAGTTCAAGCAATGAGGAAAGCAGCAGCGGGGCCCCACAGGAGGGCACCCCAGAACAACCCAGCTTATATGTCCTCCAAAGACAGAGGGTGATGTGGGGACCCTGTGGTGCAGACAGGCAGCCCGGCCGTGTCCACAGCACCCTGGGGTGGGGCTTCTCTCACCGTCGGTGGCCTGCAGACTGTACGTGAGCCCCAGAGCTAAGTAGCCTTTGGCCTTGAACTCGGACGCTTTCTCTCCCGCATCAACGACAGTTTTGGCAAACTTCTCAGCCTCTTCCAACTGAAAAACCAGACAAGTTAAAAACAACGACAACCTGACGAATTTCTAACACAAGTTACCATAGCATCAGCTGCCAAAAACAGATTTCTGATGAGTCACTGTGAAACTAACTCCCAAATCTTCCAAGTCCACTGTGGTGATTCTGTTTTCTCTGAGCCTCTCTATCAGCCCTGAGGATTCCCACTGTGTTTTTTCTCTTTAAGGTTTTCCTTATTGTTTTTTGCTGTCTTTTCCAAAGTCACTGTCATACTTGGTGGGCTCTTATCTTTTTCATTTTTACTTTTTACTGACTGGTTCTGTAATTAGGTTATGCTAGGTCCTCTGAGGTTGAATTTTACATACAGGGGAGGGTAAACGTAGGTTTGCAGTTGTGAGTATGCAAAACACAGAGTTTATTCTTGTATTATTATTTATTAATTACTGTGTTATTTATTTGTATTACAACTGTAAACCTACCTTTGTCTACCCCACATATGTAAATAATAAAGTTCTTGAAATGTTTTGTGTTTGAGTCGTACCTTCTTTTTACAACATAATGAATCCATCTAGGCTTGGCTTCTCTTTCCCACAAGCTGTTAAAAAAAGGCCAAGTCACCCTGGCCGGTTTGGCTCAGCGGTTAGAGCGTCGGCCTGCGGTCCAGAGAGACCGGGTTCAGTTCCCGCTAAGGGCGTGTAACCCGGTTACAGTTTGTCCCCGGCCCTGGTTGGGTCATGCGGGTGGCAACCACTCGATGTGTCCCTTTCACGTCAATGTTTCTCTCTCTCTCTTTCCCTCCTACTCTACCTGAACAAAAAAAATGGAAAAATGTCCTCAGGTGAGGATAAAAAAAAAAAAGGCCAAGACTCCATCTATTTATTTTACAATTCAGGGCACACAGACCTGGCACAAGCAGATGCAGAGAGAAAACGCCACCTGTAAACTACACCCACCAGGAGACCTTTCGCACGGTTCATTAGAGGCAAAAATAATAAGATGTGTTCTTTCGAAGTAGGCAAATGTTGACGTTGTTGGAGCTGCATGGCAGTACATGGGAGCTCATGTTGCTCTGTGGCGTTTGGAAGTTTTAATAATAAAAATGGAAAAAATATATACAGAAAAGATTTGTCTCATCTTTAAAAAAGAATAGGTTTCACTTGACGGTTTTGGTTTTTTCTTTGGAAAACTGTTTTCATGCCACACTCAGTTGTGTTTCATTGTTAAGTGCATATTTAGATCAGGTTCTTGAATTGTAATATTGATCTGCTTTTTAAAAATAATAAAATTTGACCGAAAAAAAATTAAAGAGTAGTTTCTTTCAGGCGCCGGAGTCATGTGGCCGTCATGAGCAGGCCGCTGGCGGAGTCGCAGCTGGGCACCGGCATTTCTGAGGTTCGGCGCCCTCCTCCGCCCACCGCGCCGCCCGTGCTGCCCGCACCCCCGCGCCGCGCCGGGCACCGCCGGGCACCACGTGCCGACGCCTGCGGGGACCACACACGCCTTCGCGCTCTGCGCTCCGGGCGAGAGCCTGCTCTTTCAAAGCGTGTGTTTTCTCCCACATTTCACCAAGTAGAATTTAACAAAGGAGAACACTTGCACCCCAAGGCCTACTTCTGTCCTGGTGGGTGGGAACGGGGAGACACAAGCCGAGCCGCAAGGCCCGTGATGGCAGGAACCTAGCAAGGCCGCCCGGGGAGCTGCTTATGGCTGCTCTCAGCAGGGGTCACGAAGAAGAAAGCAGGCTCCCTCCTCGGTGGCAATCTGGGGTTCCACTTTCCAGGGAGCCGGTATCTGTCTGCGGCGCTCAAGCTGTGACAGACCAGGCTGTGCCCAAAGCCCACCTGGGCGGGCGGGGCCGAGGGGCTGGCTGGGCGGGGCCGAGGGGCTGGCTGGGCGGGGCCGAGGGGCTGGGTGGGCGGGGCCGAGGGGCTGGGTGGGAGGCAGGGGCAGAGGCAGCTGGGCTTACAGGTGAGCTCGGCAGAGGCGGCTGCTTGCCAGGACGGCTCTGCTGAGGGCGAGCCCTCGGGCCACATGCACCTCCAGTCCTCGTTACCCTCTCACAGCCAGAGGCGTCTGAGCATGAATTTCAGATCTATCCATCATCTGTACGTTTGTAGCACATTCCCGTGACCAGGAAAACCCTGGGGTCCCCTAGGAACACAGATTCCGTACAGTTCGGGGGGGGGGGGGGGCTGGGACTCTGAACTGCCTGTGCTTGTGTGGACGGCGCCCCGCTGCTCCCCCTCGCGCTTCGTGGGACAGGTGGGCAGCCCTGCGCGCGCACTCACTCACCCAGTGGAGCGAGCCCATGCACAGCTTGGCGGCCAGGAGGGGGATGGTGGCATCGTCGGGCTTCAGCCGAATGCACTCTTTCAGCACCTTCACCGCACGGGCCGACTTGGCAAAGGAGATTACGTCTGTGAGACTCAACATGTTTGACAGAACTAAACACTGACACCTTCCCCAGGGGGTTTAGCAGCTGCCCTCTTAGTGACGTTTCCGGCTGGGAGCTGAACCACCAGGGGGATGGGGACCCGAGAACCAGAGCCAGGGGCTCCTGAGGGGCAGGGGCTCAGCTGTGGTTGGAAGCCGAGGAAATGCTTCCCTGGAACCGCCCTCCTTCTCTCCCCTACTTGTGGAGCCCTTGTAAAAATAAGAAATAATAAAGACAGTGGAGGCTTATGTTATTATACAAAATACACTGTCCAATTTATAGCATACCACACTAAATTTTTGTCTCCACTTGGCCCAAATAATCTTGTATCACAATTTACTAAACAGCAGATTCGTTAAATGGCCCAAATTAGTTCTCCTTGCTGAGCATGTACCACGTGAGAGCACTATCCAAGCACCGTGTCCGTCCTACCTCTTTTACCTGGTACCACTCTGTGAAGTGGGTCCTGATTCCTACGTTTTACTGAAGAGGAAACGGGCACTAAGGGACCTGCCCTGGGTCAGAGGGCCCAGCCCACAACTCCTGCAGCTGGACGCCAAAGCTGGCGTTTTCAGCTCGTGTCATACACTGATATGGAACACTGCCAAAGATTCCCCAGGAATAAGCTGGTACAGTCGTCCCTCGCCACCGCGCTTCGACTTGCGCGGCTTCACTCTGTAGCGGTTTTTTCAAATATATTCATTAAAAAGTTGATCGAGACAGTGAAAATGATACAGCGCGCGCTCAGTTGTCTGAGTCAATTATACACCCCTGTATTACAATTAAAATGACTGTACATAAGGACTGTAGGTCCATGTATTCGAGCACCCCAGGACTCCTTCAACGCCAGGTGCAACCGCTAGAGTCTAGACCAGATTAACCGTGATAAACGAGGGACGACTTGTGCTCCCAAATGAGTGAAAGGCTCAGTGTGCAGAAAGGAGCCTTAGTCTAAGCCATGTCTTCACATGACAAAGTTACAATGGCTAGAAAAAGGCAAATCTTTCAGAAGTTTTCTTCTCAATGATGTGTCCATGTTGGCCCCCAAATGGTCAAACTTGATTGTTCTTTTATAAATGGCCACAGGGCAGTTTCCAACAGTCGGTTTAGACTTCTACGAGGTCAGACACCGCCCCCGGGGGCCAAAGGCCCTGAGCACTGACACAGAGACCGCGTGCACAGGGGACTCACCTTTCCGGCAGCCATGAGTGACAGAGCAAACTGGTACCAGAGGTGGAACTCCTCAAAGGCAAACTTCATGGCTCTTTCTAAGCACTGGTTTGGAAAGAAGAACAAATGCAGACGTCTGAGAATGGCCAGGGTCACATGGGCCCAGGGTGAGTTTGTGTCTATGCACACTAAGGTAAGACCTGCGAAATCTGCTTTCTTAGAATGCTTAAAACACAATCTTCCGTCGAACCCCTCCTGCAGAGTCCCCCAGGGTAGGAAGCACTGTGCCAGACGCCAGGACAACTGCTGGTGACTAAAACATCATCCTTGATCTCAAGTAGTTTTTCATCTAGTACACGGAAAGAGGCAGGGACACAAACAGCTCGAACACAAGGCCCAACTTGGCAAGTGTCCCGAGAGTGGGAAACACAAAGGACGATGGGAAAGTAGTCGCAGGACTCAGGAATGGCATCCTGGGAGAATGCATCTGAGCGGGGCCTTGACTGATGAGAAGGGAAAGCCACAGCCAGGATTTGGAAACGGCACTCCAGGAAGAAGCGGTGTGAGCGACCCGGTGTGCTTGCACTTGGTGACGGCGAGAGCGACAGCCTAAACCCAGCCCAGGAACAGGGGGAATCCGGCTGCAAGGCGAGTTTGGGCTGTGGTCATGCCACTGAGAGTCTGACACGGCAGCTCCTTTTCAAAGTTGTTCCATCTCCCTCGTCCACCCAGCGTTGGATCTCACACCTCTGTGCTCCTAAAGTTCATAACTCTACGATGTTAATGTGACTTGTCTGCACCCTCCTGCCCCAGCCCAGCCCGGTCCCATTGAGAAACTATCAAGGGCAGAAACCTCACTTCCTTGTCTCCTCAGGACTGCCTGTGGGATAAGGTACAAATCATTCACACTCAACGAGGAGCCTGTGGTTTCTGCAGGGTGACAGGGTCACATCAGAGCTTTTGGAAGACCATGGGGGTGTGGGGGTTGTAAGACCAGAATGCAGACAGGCCAGGAATAAAGTACATAGAGTGGTCCAGGGACTTCAGAACCAAGGACAGAACTAAGTGTGTCTGAGTTAGAATCAGCAGGAACAGGCCACCGGAGGAAAGGTGGGTGGGTGGCTGGTGAAACAGAGACTGAGGAGACCTCTAAAGTCTCTGGTGAATGCCTGGCAGGGAAAGCCTCTGCATACGCGCGTGTGTGTGTGTGTGTGTGTGAGAGAGAGCCTCTGCATACGCATGTGTGTGTGCATGCGTGCGCACGTGCACGTGCGTGTGTGTGTGTGAGAGAGAGCCTCTGCATACGCATGTGTGTGTGCATGTGTGCGCACGTGCACGCGCGCGTGTGTGTGTGAGAGAGAGCCTCTGCATACGCATGTGTGTGTGCATGTGTGCGCACGTGCACGCGCGTGTGTGAGAGAGAGAGCCTCTGCATACGCATGTGTGTGTGCATGCGTGCGCACGTGCACGCGCGCGTGTGTGTGAGAGAGAGCCTCTGCATACGCATGTGTGTGTGCATGCGTGCGCACGTGCACACGTGTGTGTGTGTGAGAGAGAGATTTTTTAGAATAAAGAAAAAAGGGGGAAGAAGGTGTTTTATTAGTGACTTTGGTATGGAATATGATGAGTCTGAGGTGTCACGTGGTAATTTACTGGAGACCATTACTTTCAGTTGGGGGCCTCAAGAAAGAGAGCTGACAAAAGCCATTTACTTGAGCTGAAAGAAATTCACAAAGACATAAATAATTGAAAACACAGCCTGTGTTCATGGATTAGAAAACTTAACATTGCTAAGGTGCAGTGCTACTCAAAGTAATCTGGAGCCAATGGAATCCCCATCAAAATCCCAATGGCGGTTTTTAAAGAAATAGAAAAACCCATTCTGAAATTCCTAGAAATCTCGAGGGACTCCAAATAGTCAAAACAATCTCTAAAAAAGAACAGAGCTGGAAGACTCACATTCCTGATTTCAAGCTTACTACAATGCTACGGTGATCAAAACTGTGCGGTACCAACATAAAACGGACCCAGACGGACTGAAAGCAGGGACTCAAATAGATACCTGTGCACCGATGTTCACAGCATCATTACTCACAATAGCCAACAGGTGAGAGCAACCCAAGTGCCCATCGGTGGATGGATGGATACACAGAACATGAAATATTCATACAATGAAATGTTATTCAGCCTTAATAAAAAAAAGGAAATTCTGAAAACAGGAAATAAATGAGGTCCCAGAAGATGAGAGAGCCAGGCCGGGGAGCAAAGGGGCCCCCAAGAGATGTTCTTCTCTTAAGGGGGCAGATTCCTAAAGGCGAAGAGGAAGAGGGTTCGGGGGTGTCCCACCCAGACGCTGTTTTCTCTGTAAAGATGGAAAGAGGGGCTGCTGGGAGGAAAGACTAGGGCTAGGAGTTATCAGTGAGAACAGAAAAGCTTTACACCACTAGACTTCACCCCGAAGGGACAGAAGGCTCACGCCAGGGTCCCCTCAAAGACCATGTGGACAAGCAGGCACCCAGGGCACGTACTGCCGGGTTTCACTCGCGATCTCTGTGGCCAGCCCAGGCAGAGGACGCCGGACTTCTCAGGATTCAAGGGTGGGAAGGGGGCGGGGTGGTGGCTGGGGGCTGAGAGACAAAGGAGCCACAGAGAGGGCAACAAACTGGAGGATATAATCAACGTAAAGGAGGTGGTGGGAGAGGAGAGAAAGGAAGCCCTGAAGTTTAAATGGTAGTTACAGAGAAGGTCGCAGTAAATATCATGCTAGCTAGTACTGCGAAAACCCGCCCTAACGAAATACGTTACAAAGTGAAGTAATAGCAGTTAATAACACCTACCAGGAGCCTAGTGATGACAGGGGTGGGTAACCGTAGACCCCAAGTAAGATGAGCACAGGGTCCCTCATTCTGATTACACTGCAGCGTGCTCGCTACAGCCTTAGGGTGAACATGTGACTCCCACAGGGACAAGGTGATGTCAGCAGAAGCGGGGCGAGGCCCCCAGGACCACTCCTGCGGAGGAGGGCACCCTCCGCTGGGACACAGACTGGGTGCTGGAGGCGGGGCAGCAGGAACTGGGAAGCCCGGGACAAGAGCCACTATCCAGAATCACTGAGCAGAGAGACAGAGCTGGGCCCCTGGCGCCATGAGATGCTACTGCCTCTCACCAGACCTCTTGTCATGCGGACAAAATAAACTCCTATTTGGCTCAGTCACTCGGAGTTTGTTTTGTTAGTTACATCTGGACACACCTCTCACTATTACAGACACTGAATGGCAGAGCTGGAAACTGACCCCAGGGCCCTCTCCCTGCTCTGCTACATTGATAAGCCACAGGAACCTGTCACTGTGCCTTTAAGAAGCACAGAGGGGAAAATACTAACACAGCTCACTGAAAAGGTGGGCCGTGGAGGAGGACCTACCCAGGTGTGGGGTGGTAAGGGCTGGGCGTAAGTGCAGGAGATAGATGTTAATGGAGAGAATACCGAGCAACGAAAAGCTAGCAGCCCTTAGAAACTGATTTAGGGAAGGGGACAAGGGATGATGAAGGAAGAACCAAGAATGATAATCACATTGGCTGACATGAGGCAAAAAAGCCAGTAGGTGGAGAGAAGGGGTTGATGATGACCAAAAATGAAGTTTGTTCTAACAGGTCTACTCAAATAATTCATTGCAATATAACCACTAAGTACTTGAATATACACACAAAAACATTTAGGCATTTAAATGCTTTTCTTCCCCCTTTCGCTAAGAGGAATGATAAAGATCAATTATTTTCCTGATAAACAAAAGGAACGCAGCTTCTGAAACAGTCTGTTCTGAAACAAAAGCTAGATGCTATAAATAAGCGTGCACCTTACTCCCTGCGGTGCCGAAGGCCAGCACACTCATCCTCGGTGGAAGACACCCCGGGAAGCTCACTGGCTTGGGGCTCCGTTCTGGGTGTTAGAGGAAAACACCAGCCCCCATAAAGAGTAGACTCAGAATCTTGGGGCTACAAGGGAAATGAGAAGCATCTAGGTGAAGTCCCCAAAGGAGAAGACATTTGTCATTGTGGCTGCCTGTCACCTCAAACCTCTTCTGACTTTGTTTCGGGGGATCGAGGGCACCCTACATAGAAGCAGCCTCTCTGCTTCCCAGTAATAAGCCTAACGGTGAAGGAAGGAGGGAAGCAATAGGAGTGTCACATGACCCAAGCAGGGCAATCAGATGCTCCTGCCAGCACGTGGCGTCTGGAGCTACTGAGGCTGGGCAGACCCTTGTGTTACACCCAGCAGCCAAGGGGGGATGTGTGTGTGCGCGTGTGTGTGTGTGTGTGGTGTGGGGGAGGGCAGCACAGGGGCAGCAGGGCTGGTAAAGACCCTCCAGAGAAAACTGGGCAGAATTGCCTCATATGGTCACCCTAACCCCACAAGGTTTGAGCTTCTCCGTTCACAGACGGGGAACTGGAGCGAGGACCGCTCCAGCTGTGCAAGGTGTCAGTGGGTTCTGGCAGAGCCGGGACCTGCATCCAGGCAGCTCTTATACAACACTCCGCAGCCTCCGACATGCCGCTCCCACTTACCAGGCCCACTCATGCTGCACAGAGTGAAACACAGCGAAATAAAAGGCCCCTAAAAATGACACAGGTTCCTTGAACTATTTCTGACATCCAGCAAGAGCTTTTTACTGCAGATGGGGCCCTTGCTCCATGGCCCTTTGGGAACCCCTGAGGCTACTAAGGACCGAGGCCTTTCCAATTTGCAGAATTTTCAAGCAACTTCACAGATCCTACAGTTCCCACCAGCACCACCTCGAAGGTGCTCAGTTGACGTGAGTCATGCATTTCCTCCACACTACTGCCACACCTGTCACGGGCCTCTCCCCGATGGGGCCTCTCTAACAACCCACGTCCCACAGTGAGCTCTAGGGGTGCTGTGCATGGATTTAAGGAATACCAGTCAACAATGAAAAATTAGCCTTCACCCCAATTCAGAGGGGTCTAGGCTCTGGTGTCACCGCCAGGGCCCTGTCTTCCTGTGGGCTCTTGGCATCTTACAGCTGCAGATGCTCCTGAAACGTCAATGCCAAGCACACTGATGGATATGTAACGTCCTCCTCACGTCC